GCTGGCGATTGTGCAAACATTTCACCACAAGCTCATGGGTAATGCTTTCTTAAAAATGGGTAATTTCGAACAGTGTTTTCCACTCAAAACCCACTCAGTGGGCTTGAATGTTTCACAAACGAAGTCGAGGTCGCGAGTGACCCTTGTTTGGTTGGATTTTACTCGACAAATTAGTGCTTAGGGATAAACAGGCGTAAGCATTTATTGAAATGTTATAAAGCAGGACTTAGTAGCGGGTAATGCCATTTTTTTCCTGAAGTCGTTTGTCATAATTCGTGCGGTCATTCCCCCGCGATCTGCGATCCACTTCGCCAAACGGGCCACGGGGCGCATCATAACCAATTGCAGAAATTGCAACATCTACATAGTCACCAATCTATAAAAAAAGAGAAAAATTGTATATTTTTCTACGAATTTCGAAACAACAAAATGTCGGGCGTAAACACGCAAACGATACCTGAAAGTGTTTGGAACTGAGGGTAATGTCGCCGTCGTCAAGGCCTGATTTTTCCTCCTGTTCCGCGAAAACACTGGTAGGCATCACAAAAGACCCCAGTTCGCGCCTACGATAAGCACCTCGTTGACCAGGATCGGGGAAAACTGAGGTGAAGTGAAAACGCATTGGACGACCCATGCGAAGGGCTGGTCTTCTGTTGGAGGTCCCTGAAGACTTCACTGCGTGTATCACCTCCTGTGATAACTCCCTCAAGCTCACGTTCAACCTGGTTGAAAGTCAGAATAACTTCGAGTTTAATAAGCAAACATCCTTCACATTTTAGGCGTTTCTGCGTCTATGAATGAGGTCCGGCGGTTTAGAAGATGCAGTCACTCCTTTGCAGGATTCGCCGTGATGTGTTTAACAAACAACGGATGTAGACACTTAGTGTTCAAAAAGTTATGCGAAACCTAGGTAATGGCAATGAATTCCAAACGCGAAAACAGACTCTACAATAAACAAGTGCATGTCTTTTGTGCTTGTGAGGCGCTTTCCAGATATATCTTGAAAGCCAACATACTAGAGCAAGTAACGGTCTTACCATGTGTTTACTTGAACTTCCGAGGGCGGGAACTTCCCATTGGAGAAATACGAGAGTGGGGTGTGTCGGCCGTCAGTGGAGTAGAACACCCGCACGAGAATCGGGCAGACTTCACGACGATCGAAAGCAGGTGCCTGTGAGGTGGCCGGGGGCACCACAACAACACTAGATCGCTGACGTTTGGCGCTGGCACTTTGTGCCGAGGCGTCCTCTTGGTGCTGGAGGAAATCTTTCATGCTACGCGCAGCAAAATTGCTGCCTTCTTGTTCCACGCTTGTACTCGCTTTTCGTTTGAGTAGAACTCGACGAGTCTCCGGGACAGGTTCCGCTGGAGGGGGGAGAGGAGGAGATAAGCTTCGCCTGCCATGACGACCGGGTCGAGAGTGCGGTGGAGGATCCCACTTGTGAGTTGAAACCACGGACTTAATAGTCGGACTAGCCTTAAAAGAATAAAGAAATACTCAAATTGCACTACGTTATTAGTTAATGTACTGCGGACATATAGACTAAGATAGTTAGGCTCTCAAAGCGTGAATGACTGGAGCGATGAAAATGGACTTTGGTGCATTTTAGTCCGCTTCTCCGGAGGCATTTGAGTAGATACCAGCTGTTTGGCTCCAAACCTCTAACACATTTTTAATGAATAATAGTCCACTTACAACCAACTCAACCATAATTTAGTATCTATGCTTTCCGCACATAACAAGGTACTACCTAACAGTAAAGTAAGGCAAACAAAGCGCTTTACATTAAATATTTCATAACTAATAAAAAAACTAAACACACCATCATGCACCAATATAAGTGATAATTGTAGGAGATCGGCAGATGAGAAAATGATGACACAGATTTTTGCCAAATTATTTTATCCTAACCAATGATAGGCGTGGCCACAAAAGGCCAATAAACTATCAGGTGGAATGATTGAAATCATCAACAAGATTCCCAAAAGGTTATATAACAAATGTCTACAATAGACTGTGCCGCCAATTTAAAAAAAAATTATCGTCTTGCTACGTAATTACTAGTAGCGTGACTTTAGAAATTTACTAAGATAACAAAATATCAACGTAATTCCTCATACAAGGATTGTATTAATGATTTGCACTAGTATTTTTAGGACATCAAGCATATGCATATTTTTAATAAAGCACTAGACTTAGTTATTTACTTTTAAATGCTAAGGTGATTACGTGCCTCTTATTTGAAAATTTACATGTCCTTAATTGAACAGATTTAAATTAACTTCACCCAATTTAGCAAAGAAATTTAGATGTGAACTGCCAGTACCAATGGCTAAATGACTATTTCTTATACAGTTGTAAGAAAATTTCCGTGAGTTACAAATTGGTGCAAAATTATAGGTGGTTAAACTAACCTACAATGTTAAATAAGGGACTGCTCTAATATTTCGCTGATCTATATGGCGTCCACGTTTTAATAGTAGCAAAAAAAGAAAATCATGATAAATATCGAGTACGGCAAATCTTTTTAGGTTTTTGGGGGTTATTTAAAACACTCAAGCGAATAAGGGCGTTGGTTGTAAGGTCATTGGTAATTCTATGGCGGGAATTGAAGCTTCCTAGAATGTCAGCAATCTTACACAATCTGGTGTTTCTTGTGACATTGTTTCAACCTGTTGTCACTTTAAAAATACCACTGTATGTCCCTGAGACGAGCCATGGCCTTTTATTAAATGTGAAAAACCGAGTTCGTTGGAGCAATCCCTACTGTTTTCTAGTTGATGAAGCACCAGACATTCCAGTGTATATTTCTACCACAACCTGCCAGCTACGTGCTAAAAGCCATATGCGACTCGATTATGAGAGTAAGAAGGAGTTTTTGGTAAAGGTCAAAGTACTTCGCCGTGATCAACAAGGTCGTAAGTAGTTTTCTTTAAAAGTTATTGAACACAATTTATTAATAAGACTTTTTTGAAATAAGTTTTTCATATACTGCCTGCAAATTTTAAGCAAAAGGCCTGTACTTGTAGGCTCAATTAATTCAGAAGAGATTGATATTCACATAAATTTAATCGATGTCAACGATGAACCTCCCGTCTTCACACCATTTTGGCCCGAATACCCGGATTCTATTGCAAAAGCTGTGCTCGCGGGAGAGTCTAAAACTCCACCTGGGACAAGAGTATTTAAAGCCGAGGCTACGGATGCTGATGCGGGCTCAGTTTTGCAGTTTGGCTGGACACCTGGTGTAGAGATTACAGCTGGCGAACGTTTCTACATATCCCCAACATCAGTAAGTTTTCAACTAGTTCCAGAATTTGAGTTTTAATACTGTACTTTAGTAAATGCAGTGGCCAAATTGCTAGTTTTAATAAATTATGGTTTCAAGTATCTTGAATTTATCATTTATAAATTCCTTTAGCAGGAGATTTCGTGATTCATTGAAACTAGTTTTCACTAAGATGTAATTGATTGTGGTCAGCGAATATGATGGTGCCATTTATTTTGTTTCTAAAACTATATTTTGGAAACTGGTTAAATCACTTGATCAAATTTTCTAAGTTTATGCTATGGGACGTGCAGTTTTTAAGAACAATATCAATCTCTTGACCCTGGATATTTTAAAGATGGAATTCGGTTACCTCAATTAGAGCGATCTATTTCATTTTCATCTACAACCGACAAGAAGTAATTGCACGAAGTGCTATTCTTAACAATAGATTTTTGTAAATAACTTAGAGGAATGCAAGACTTGTTACTTCGAACTGCTTGCATCAGGAATTGCTTGACCATTTCTCCACAAATTTAAATGTTTCTTAATGTAACGTTGCAGCTCTACCGGTTCTAGAACTTTAGAGGCATAAATATATACTTTTCTCGAAACTGGTTATTCCGTAGCTTAAAAATGCGATGTTATTTGCACGGCCATTGCTTTAATTAGGTATTAATCGTTAAAATATTGTTTGAAACAAAAATCCACAAGTTACTTTTTTGTTTGTGCAAAGATTAGCAGACTCTATTTTTAATTGATATGTTTAGAAAAAATGCCTTGTGGCATTGTGACAAAATTCCTTTAACACTGTCAATTTATTCTCAACATGGAAAATCATTGGTAGTATTTTATCTTACCGTGGGCGAGTATAGGCATTGCTGAGAACTTAGTATGGCGATTCGCAAGTCAAAATCACCCGTTTAGTCACCTCGCGTGTTAAAACTAGTTGTTGTTGGCTTTTGAGTTGGTGCATTACCTTTTTTTAAGCGATAAACCACTCAACAGACAGGTGTAATAGTTTCCAGAAAACACACCTGGCTGAACTTTGTCATTTCTGTGAATGACACTCCAGCAGCAACTGGATACCTTTCATGTTAGTGTACACCTATCAAATTTCCGTCACACCATATTCGACAATGAGGTACTCCACTCACAACCAACACGGTTGTTTCAAGTCAAATGTCTAACCCTCGTAAATGACGCCAGAAACACAAAACAATCAATAATTCTTGACTTTCTCAAATACTCCAACGACATGAATCGTTTTTTGTCAATATTTCAGGAAGTCAAGTAATTTAATTTTTTGTAGAAAAAATTGTGCTCACTTCTTCACCAAAGCGTTAAATTTATCTTAACCATTGAATTAATCTTGAATTTTGTTTAAATGTGTAGCCAAATTCTACTATTTTTGCATGGAAACTCAGGTTGCAAACTCGATTCAAAATTTCGTAGGTTGCGATAATCGATTTCATTTAAGTACGATCAAATTGAGTTCGTCTGTCAGATTTGCTGTGATTATCGTGGTATTCCTTATGTCATTGATGGCAATTTGGTAATTCTAAAATACAGGGCAGAGAGGTCCACGTTTGACTTGGTTTTGCACAATTTCTAATTTTCTGTCAATTTGTCATGGCGTCTGTGGCGCGGCAAAGACCCCTTCCACATGTCCACTATTTCAAACAAGGCAAACTTGTCTTGCTGGTAGCCGCGATGCCTTTTCAATCGCGTCGTTGTAGACCGTCGGCTTTCACTCAGGAAGGTGGGGGAGGGGGGGGGGCTGCCGCAAAAATTGCGTGTTCGTGTGCACGAAAACGCGTGTGTACGCACGCACACACACACCGACACCGCATGTGCCTTGCACGCTTTTGTGTTCCGTGTTGTTCCACGCCCTTGACGTGCTAGCGACGCCACCTCGCGTGCAAAGCACAGAGCACGTTCTTGGTGTTAACTGGCGCATTGAGCCCTCAAGAAAAACAGTTCAGGGAAGGTTGACTTGAACGAGCGGAATGATAGTGCATAACCTCGCTCTCTTCCCCTTTATGGTCTCATGTGATCAATTCTCGACCACCTCATTCAAACACACGTGGTTATCGTCGATTTAAAATTTTCTCAAAAATAGGCTTGGTTTTGTGAAAATCGATGGGGTTGGCACGCAGGAAAAGCGTTTTTCGCTTTAGGTGTCCAAAAAATATGCCTCTCAGCTTCGTGAAACGTCTAAGGCGTTGATTGAGCATATTTTGTGATGAAATGGAAACGCCCACACTTGTGTGACCTTGAAGATTGAAAGTTCGCTTGGTTTCCTATCAGTCATCACAACAAGCTAAACGTAATCCTCAACCATCAGAAGCCAGACTTTGGGGGGCAATTGTGAGAGGAGCAACCAATGAAACGCGACTCTTGATTTCCACCAATCACGATTCGCCATGATCATGCCTAGTCAATTGGCACGATCAAACTTCACGTCCACTTCCCGTTTCAAGGGCGTCATAACCACGGTAGGTGAGGATGCCTTTCCAGTCAACCACGTCTATCGACTCAGCATCCGCGTTGTCGACTTGAACGCGGCTGTTCCGGCGACAAGCTTCGCCGACATGGAACTCCTTGTCTACACTGCCTTCCAACCTGTGCTGTTTCCTGCGGACACGTTCCAGTTCAACGTCACCGAACAACTGCCTGCGCAAACCAGGTAGAGTGATCAGCACGTGCATCTATGTCCAATTTTAATCGATATATTGCCAAAGACACCAAGTGTAGCCCGATCGGTTTTCATTCCTAAATCGGGAGGTATCTTTACACACACTTTGCGACTGCCTTTGTCTATTCCAGCCATTTTGCGTTGATTCCCTCCGATTCAAATCTTATTGGTTCTTAACAGCTGACAAATGAATGTTGATTGGTTCGTCAGTAGTGACTCAAAACACACATTTTCTGCACAAATCAGATTTCGACGTAAGATTTACTAGTTCTTTACATACCAAAGGTGAATCAGAAAAAGAAATCTTTTTGGCGGTTTCATGACCACAATTCCAAGAAAATTGGCTTGGATATCGTCATCGTCAGAAATAAATTTATTGCAAACTAATTCTGACGTATGCGTTTTCTTAAGCAAACTCTCCACCACTGTTAATACACAAGGCAAACTTTCTTCACAGGTTATTCATTTTTGCACATCAAACCAAAACTTGGCAACCTTATGCAAAAATATCCGTCGCACAAATGTGTTTAACGTTTTGCAAATGACTTCTTTATTACCTCACCGCACGCTCCTGACAGGCGAAACAGCCAACATTTTGGTTGTTTGAGATGCTGCATGCCTAAACAGGTCCATTCGGCTAACGCCTTTGTGTGATTTTGCTAAACGACGTTAATCGGATCCTCGAATATGCTTTCATTTTGATTGCTTGAGACTGTGATGTGAGTCACTGCAAGAACCCAGATGTTCGCTAGGGTGTAACCTCGTTACCTCGGTAAGTTTTCGAAAATAAATGCTACTTAAATCGCCTCTCAGTAGCTAGTTTTTATCGGAACGTCCAACACAACCTCGCGATGAACCAATCAATGCGTTAATTCATCGTTTCTACAACTACTGTAATTTCTTCTTCTTCTTCAAGACTCGGTTACATCCCCGCACGCTCCTTGAACTCAATCAATGACATCATCACCTTCAAAGTACTTCGCCGACCCGACCCCTCTAAACAACCAATCAACATCGTGGACGGAGGTGATGGTTTAATCACAACGCAAAATTACTTCGACTATGACACTATCCTGGATCACTCCACGACGTACCTCATAGAGGGACGGGTCCAAAATGGCTATTCCGCTACTGCCTTGGCAAGTCTAGATTCTCTAGAATACATGTCTTAGAAGTCGCAGGAGATGTCATTGTCTTTTGTCGTCCGCTTAAGATGGTTGTATCTATCACTGATTTGGACGATAATCCGCCGTATTTCGAATTGGCTGCGTACCAGACATCATTGATTCCCGAGACAGTGCAAGTGGGCACCGTCGTCCTCGAAGGTAAGTAAAAGCACAACTACTTAATTCTATTAAAGTAGCAAGTATTGTGTATAGCATTGCAAAGAACTGACAGTCGACGATCAAAATATACCAGTTTTTTCATTAGCTCGTATACCACAACTTACATTAAACTCACGTCGTTGAATAGGAGTAGAAGTATTAGGCCAATGAGAATCGATGACTAGTTCAAGGCCAGTGGTAGCCAATGAATGGTTTGTTCATTTGTAGTCACTCCTGGCGACCGGGACACAGCGGCCCAGAACCGCAAATACGTCTACACACTCTCCGGCAGTGGGGCTTCTAGTTTTTCGGTGAGCTCAACAGATGAAGGTGCTGCTCAAATAAGGACTAAAGAGTAAGCATTTGCATATGTTTACAATAAATAAGCTGTCGCTAATGCTCGGTCTTGATCCTCGATAACGTCGGAGATCGAGGGCTATAAAAGTCCTACTAATTTAATTGAGTAGGTTGTTTATTTCCATTTTGGAAAAAACGTATTTTGTTCGTCAAGGTCACTACGCTTCGATAATCTCCCCTTCGACCAGCCCTTCTATGCATTCCAACTAACGGCAAGCAGTGCCAGTGGAAGTGCCAGCACGCTGATCCGTGTGCTGATCCAAAATGCCAATGTGAACCGTCCCGTGGTCATACCTTTACCAAAACTCACCATTTTCCGTCAAGTGCCCCTCAACACCTTTCCCATCGCTCAGGCTGCAGCCACCGATGCAGACGGTGGAGCAGTGGCCTTCTTCTTTGTTGACACAAGTTAGTTGAGCTGTAGCCTTGGGGCCCTCTCATCAGTAGCAACTTCGGATGAATCGTATTGATTTTTTTTACACCTCAGCTACCAATCGTCCAACAACTGACTCTGGACCCTTCAAAATGGACCGAGAGACTGGAATGGTCTACCTGACTAGCACTCCGCAGCTCATCACCTACGACCTGGGCATTCAAGCCGCAGACGACGGGACTTGTCCAGGTTGTCCTGCATCTGGAACAGGTCTTGAAAGTGAAGTCGTTAGACTTGTGGTTGAAGTAGTCGACAGAAACCTCGTTGCTCCAGAATTCACACTCTGTCCCGCAGAAATGACCCTTCAAGAAGCAGCTCCTGCTGGAACGGTATTGGGAAAAGTACGTTGGTTTTGTCGAGCAGTGGTAGTCATTAACACATTCGCAGAACAAACCCTTTGTTATAAAATAAACACTACTAATATAATGTAAGTAGTGAAATATGTTTATGTCATTGCTGCCCATTGATCAGGTGACAGCAACAGACGCCGACGACCCTGAGCTCTCGGCCATTCGTCTAATCTACGAACTGATAGGCAATACGGTTTTCGCGAAGCCAACTGACTACCTGCAGATCGATCCCCAAAGTGGTACGATTACCAACGCGAGACCCCTGATGCGGACAGCCGATCAGTTTGGTGGGGTGTTGCCTGTCCAGCTGTACTTCACGGTGGCCGTGTACGACTGGGGTACGTGGTATAGTCGATTTTGCCGCTAATCCCTCCATCCAACCATGTCTGTGAATCAGGTTGCCCCGCTTTTGTACTCTAGGCGTGCCTCAAATGCGCTCGCTTTGCAATTTCCGATTGGTAATCGAGGACGTCAACAACAATCCACCGCAATTTGACCCCTCGACGTACACGGCCTTCGTGGAGCGCAATCGCGATCCCGGTCTGCTCCCAGCAATACCCATCCTTCAGGTTGTCGCTGTCGATCTAGACGATGAGACCACGGAGAATGCACAAATTGTCTACGAACTTGAGTTGGAAGGCACGACCAATTTCAGAATTGACAAAGGCAGTGGGCAAATTTTTGTTACCGGTCTACTTAGCGATGTAAGTGCTACTTAATTGACATCAGTAATGTTTTTGCGCTTTCCATTCAATCGCAGGAAAAATAAAAACGCTATTCACGATATATTGAGAACAAAATAACTGACAGTGATGCCAGGCTTAGATATTGTGGTAAATTATACATATTAAGGGCAAATTTTTGCGATTGAAATTTGAAAATTAAAAATGAAAATAAATAAATGTTAAATCTACCGTTTAAGCGTAATTAGCATATTCTTCAATTTTAACAATTAGTTAGCATGAGGTCTTTTGTTGGCAGTGGCTGGTTCAATGCAATCTGTGTTCTGTTAAATTGGTTTTTAAATTTATCCGATGCCGGTCACTTGTAGCAGAGTAATCGAAATTCAATTAACCGCCCAGCGATCACGGTGGTGATTAAAACAAACATTAAATGGAAGCCATAGCAACTGGTACGTATTACACTAAGGAGAGTAGGGAACTGTTTCCTGATTAATGATAATTTTAAAAATTGCTGAAAGCTTGCACGTTACAAGGTAGAATTTAATTTATTGATCTCAAAGTTCGATTTCCATATCTAGTAAAAGTCATCATTCAATGCATGTGTTTCGGCTCATGGTATACTCCATGTTGCTCGACTTGGCGACACTACTAAATTCGCATCTAAGTAGTCAGTTTTTTTCCTTCCAGGAGTCTTACAAATTCTCAGTTGTTGCCAAGAATCCCGTTCCACTGGTCTCAACATCGCGCACTTGGCAGACGGCAACAGTCACTATCGTGACCTCAACCTCGACCAATCACCTACCACCTGTCATAAGCATCATTTCCTCGTAATTCACATTACTTTTTTCTTGTTTTAATCTATGCACCTCCTCTTCGCTGCCTTCCACATAGACTCAAAGTGATGCGACAACCCAAGTTCATTAAGTTTGCTCACTTGTGGTCGATAAAACTAGGTTAGGGCAGCCACCTGCATTTATTAAAGCTTACCTCTTGCTGGTTTATTTGAAATAGGACGAATAAATTCCGCGAAAACAGCGTTAACCAGGCATTGGCGCAAATCACAGCTACGCCATGGCCCGGCGCGAACTACAAGTTCTTCATCAGCCACGTTCCAGGGACGTTTGAACAGACCGGCTGGTTGAATAGCCCACCGCCGTTCACGAGTGAAATCGTCTACTCCAGCACCAACCAGCCAACTCTCATTATCTACTCCGGCTCCAATTTCCTCTGCCAACGACTCAACCACTACACAATTCGCGTGCGGGCCTGCCAGCAGCCGACAGACCCGGTGTACGGCGACATCTGCTCCGATGCGGTGTTGAACTTTAACCTGGAGGATGTGAACAACATGGTGCCGCAGTTTATTGATCAGTCCAGCCTCTTGGAGGTGTACCTACCGGAGAACGCTGCCAGAGGAACCACTGTGCTTAAGTTGTTCGCCGTCGACATGGATCCATCTAGTTCGTTCAATAAGGTGAAGTTGAAGTTAATCAGCTTACTTAATAAGATTTCAGTAGTTAGAATATAGACAAGAATTTGCTTCACGAATTGGCCTGATGCATTAGACAAACACCTTGTAGAGTTGGTGTTGTTCTAATTAGTTGTGTTGTGTTTTTTAGGTAACGTATTCTCTGATCGAAACCACAGACGCAGACAACTTTGCCATCAATGGCAACTTGCTGGTCACAAAAGTCGAAAAGATGGACTTTGAACAAAAAAAGAATTATGTCCTGAAGGTGAAGGCAGAAGACAATGCTCCGTCTTCTCTGCCGGCAAACGAAGGTCGGCCAAACTCGGGTAAGTACACACACTGAATGCATGGGTGACCTTGAGCGACAAATGGAGGAATTCACGTAAATTTGAATGAGCCAATCGAAGGCCGGCGGTCGATATGGATCCGAAAAATGGCATGCATGTACACAAAATGTAGGGGTTTGTCAGTGAGTCCTCCAGACAAACATTTAATAAGAGTAAAGGAATTTTTAATCCTGTAATGATGACTAAAATATCAGATGAATGGGCCACCCTTTCCCTACTTTTTACTCCGTTGTGTTTTAATCAAGCCGAGTTACCACTGACGGTGCGTCTGCTTGATCAAAATGACAACCCGCCTGAATTCGTGGACGTGCCGATGAACATGGAGGCCACGGAGGTCTCACCGGAGAAGACGTCGATTGGGACGATCAGGGTCAAGGACGCCGACGAGACCTCCGTGATTGTCTACACGATGGAGGGTGTCAATCCGGACTTCGCTGTCAACTCGGCTACCGGCGAGGTTTTAGTCGTTCGTCCATTGGGTTTGACTACTGTCGATGCAAGTTCCATCGCGATTGGTCCTTTTTGTTTAAATCTTGAGATGAAGGAGGAGACTATGAAAGTGTCTGATCATCTTAAATGCCAAAGCGAATTCTCCTCAGCAAAATATGGTGCGATAGCTGACGTGATGTTTCTTCAATTCTAATTGTTGGTTGCACAAAAACATCCGAAAAATAGGTCTAGAGGCAATGTAAACGCGTTAGTGCGTTTTTAGTGCGCGTTAATTATAACAGTGACGTACGAATGAGTGAATTATCAGGATGCGTTTGGTGTGGGTCAATGATAATTGGAGTCAGAATTGGTTTGTTGGCTGTGAATAGCACTCACGACCTTGAAAAAAACTGCTCTTTATACACAACTGTATTTCAATGATTAACTTAATTTTCGAAATTCCTAGTAAATGCCAACTTCATTTTTTAAATGGGCTGTTGTGGTGGGTTTGTTTTACTGATAGTGCTAAATGTAGTTTTGACACGGCATACGAAATTGATCTGTGATAGGGTATATAATATTTACTTGACCTAAATACATCTCATCTTTTAGTTTTTGTGTAAATTGCCTTAAACTCCATCAACGCATGTCATAAATTCAAGTGTAAATGCTTGGAAACGGAGCAACGGTTTCCAAATGCATTCAAACAATGCTCAGTCAACCGCCTGTTGATTCTGGGAAGAAATTCGAATGCAAGAATCAAATCGAGCTGGCGTTTCGGCTACAAATTCATGTCTAGGATACCAAGAGATTGAAAGATGCTTCAGTTGTTCTTTGATAATGCCTTTGGTGCTTTTTCAACAAAGACAACTATGAGAATTCCTTTCCAAAGTGTAGTTTTTAAAGCGGCAAATGGATATCACCATGGCAACATGAGATGAGTTGTACTCAGGTGTGGTTGACTTAAAAAGAAATTTCGACAAGCAACCGCCCATAGCCTTATCTTAAGATGACTAATTGTAGCAATAATGCCTACTTTGCAGGTTCAAACATACAGCGTTACCATAAACGACGGCCAGTATAAGAAATCCGCGACCTTGTCGATTCGCATTGTCCGAACCAATCAGAGATTGCCTGAGTTCCCCAAGACGCTGTACACCTATGAGGTGACGGAGCTTACAACAGGGCCCATCGAAGAGCCTGTAAGTACCTCAGGTATTTTTCATTGATTATCGATAAAAATGGGGCTTTGTGATATCTCAAGGTCAATTTCGAGGTCGTTCGAACATTGCGATGACGAAAATGTTACATTCCTCACCCCCACATTCATAGTGCAGAAACACTTGCAAGATCCATGCGTGTCCACGCATGCAGAAGGATGAACCAATTGGATGAAGGCGGCCAATTTGAATGTGGAAAGTGGTGTGCATGGTTGCACTCTTTCGAAATTGATCTAGTCCTTGTGAATGCTGACATCACTGAGATTTGGAATCATAGTTTGAGTCAATGAAAAAAGTTCGTTTAATAATTTTAGCCTTCCGCTAGTGACCCAAACGACCCATCGCAGCTAACTTACTCAATCGGAGGCTACTTTTCGGAACACTTTAGAATTGACGAAACCAGCGGGGCGCTTCAAGTCATTAAAGGCATCCCCAGGGATCGACCTCATGGCTACCCAGTAAGAATTTCGCAATTTTAGTTTGATGTTGTTGGATTGGTTGCTACTTTGGTGTGCTGTGTAAAAATGATTAAACGTTGGACGACTTTTTAATGTTCTTTCTTGACACCCGTTGCTTGAAGTCGACTGACATCGCTCTGGTCAAAACAGTAAAGCTGACGATGTTCAAATCAAGGTCATTATTTAATTGGCCAGTGGGCCTTACTTCCATGTTTCTGATTGGCTGCTAATCTTCTTCACTGGCTTTTAAACACACACTGACATGGGATTGGCTTGGCTTACAGCGCGCTCCAGTTTGGTTAATGCAGAGCATATTGTTGCTTTTTTTTCACGTAGACCTGTAGTATCTCGGTGATAGCGTCGAATAGAGTTGGTTCGGCCTACGCCCAGGTGCTGATCCAACTGATCGACATCAACAACCAATACCCACGCTGGCCCTACCCCAACCAGTTGGTGCAGTGCCCAGAGAACACCGCTGTGAACACGCAGTGCGCGACCCTCGTGGCACCAGACGCTGACGCCGACGCCAACGCGCAGTCCACCTACCGTGCTGTCGAGGCAAATCCGAACTTTGAAATCACCGAACTCGGTGGGCTCAACGTGCTGACGGTGGGTTCGCAAGTCACAACATTTTCAGTAAAATTCTTCCACAACTTGAACAAATGGCTCCTTCACCAAATGACTTATTTTAATTGATCGCAACGTCTATTTAAATCCACTAGAATCTCTCAAGTATCAGATAACCATTTGTATTGAATTTTCTGCACAAATTCTATCCCTGATTGGTATCGCTTTGAACTCGTTTTGCAATTGTCCCAGTTTTTGCAAGTGTGGCTCTCGCACCAAAATGTTTGCTTTTTCATTGGTGGAATTGTTTTTAGAAAAACTTGTGAATTCATTCTACCGCAGCAGTCGGCGACATGGATATTACACAGAAAATCCTTTCCTTGAGGGAATCTTTTGCTAAAACACACCTATTTTTGGCACTTGTTTAAATGTTTCGGGATGTCGATGATACGAACGACCATGACAAATGATCTCCCGATTAAATATTTCATAAAACCTTCGCTACTTATAAATACTAAGTAGTGCCTCAAATTTTCTATTCGTCTGCTCTGTCTTCAGCAATTTGACTATGAAACGACGCAAGAGAAGACGCATTACATTCCTATAGTGGCCACGAACATTCGCAATCCGGCAAGTGGTGGCCAGTTGTACAGTGTCAGCGGCACCCTCACCGTCGTCATTTCCGACGTCAACGACTTGCCACCGGTCATCGTGGGTGGAACGTAAGTTGCGGGAAATGCTAAGAGCAGTCACCCGTGTTCGCTATGGTCTGTACGATGGGATTCTACTTGTAGGAGTTTTGACATCACGGTCCTGGAGACAGCTCCAATCGACGTAGATGTCTTTTCCTTCTTCATTGAAGATGCAGACGAGTCAGACCGGGGTCAGCACTCCTGTGTGATGTCCCCAACCAACGAGTACTTCGCAGTAGCCTACAATCCGAGTATCGGAGCTTGTGGAATCAGGGTGAGTGTTGACCATTATTCCTGAATCTTGTGAGAGCAGTTTTAATTTCGTCTTAATGAGAAATAAATAGGTAAGTGGTTTTTTAATGACGTGCATTTAAGAAAACATCATTAATTAGCTAGGCGGCTTTACAATCCTGCACGCTTACATGCACACGCATTGGCGCGATCGATAGCCCCACGCGCGATTTCATTGGTTTAGGGGTGAATACCAGCAGGCAATCAACCAATCCCGCTGTTCTGTTGGTGGTCGCGCTGTGATTGGGTGGTGAGAACAATTTAGGTTTTCACGAGCCACTAAAACGAAGGCATCACCACGTCATGATTATTGGCCCCTTTTGAAGGTCAGATGAACGAGTACAAAATGGGTGGTCGATCTTTCTCCCTGGGCGACTGTAGGTGGGTTTGGTCGTTCGTTGATTGGTCCATTTTAATATTCTTTTAATCGTAATTGCTGAGGCCTTCAATGCGATTTCGGGAACCTCACCAGGGCCGACGATCTGCGTCGACACGGTCCGTCCAAGGAAAGAGAAGGAATGAAGATAGCGCGTGGCTCAACTAGCTTATTAATGCAGTAGTGGTGGTGTAAGTACCATGTGCCAAGTCAGCTGATCTAGGATTGGCTAAACATCGATCCCTAAACGAACACAGTTACGTAAAGCGCATTCACGTAAACCTATTGAATCATGTTTTCTCAAGTTTGCTACTACCGTTTGCCCACGATTGCTGTGTTCGCTCGCTGCTGGCCACGTCTTAAATAATCACTTTCTGTCAGAAATAAAAGCAAATTTTCGACTTGTACTGAGGACATTTCACGACCTATCTAAGACGGTAGATCGCATCCTTCCGCTTGAAGCCTAACCCGCACCTCAGTCATGATTGTTCTTGCGCAGCCCCTGGTGAAGTTCAACATGGACGACAGTCCGTTCGTGCCTCCTGGACCGCAGGAGCTCACCATCATCGTGTTCGACGCCAACCACCGGCACAATGTGAGGGTGGTGGTGCGAGCCACGGTGGTGGAAGCCAACGACAACCCACCGCAGATCAAACTCCAGCCGCCTTCAGGACCCGGCGAGGTGTTGGACGGCACGACGGGTTTGCAGACCCTCGTTAACCTGCAGGCACCGTCGATCGACCTCGAGGACGAGGACGTCTGGTTCCACATGGACTCGAGGTCCGCCGCCAACGGAATGCTCGGCGTCGACGTGACCAGCAGCACTGGCGTAAGTGGACTGCCGCACTCCGTCCACGCCACAGACACCCAGTCTTTTGTGACCAGCTTAGACGTCTACCTGTCTGTTTGTCTAAGTGAAGCTCCAGGCTACTATCCTCGCTCATTTTGTCGAGTTCTGCCACCTCGACATCAGACTGCGCACGGAGTTAACGCGTGTTTGCACTTGAAGTGTCAAATTTAGCAAAACTGGAGATTAACCAGTAAGAATGGATTCGCGACGTGTGCACAGCCCAGTGGGCTGGGATGTCAGTCGAAATTGACAAATAATAATTAGGAATCACTTGCACCAAACCAACATTCCCAACTCCACCTAGAGCATACATTCACGTGATGGCCTTTCGAGGCTGCCTTTTACGACTCTTG